CTTACAGCCAGGCACTAAAAAAATATTTCTAACTGAACCTTCTTTAGTGTGTGACACAGATCCTCAGGAGAAAGGTGCATGACTCAGGTATCACACCGCTGATCTCCTACCATCATTTTGCAGGCATCCCTGGCATTTGGCCATGGCTTGGCTCCCATTCACAGCCATTCCCAGCCAGGCTCCACACTCAGCCGCTGCCAGGAGACCGGCTCCCGCTTCTCTCACTCACTTACCAGACTCTCAAAAACCCCTCTCTGTGCTGCTTCCTACCCTGCCCTACACACTTGGAAAGGGCTCCTCAGAAGCATCTGCAGTGTAACCTATTACTCCCTCTTCAAAGATTTTAATAATCTCCTCTTCTACAACACCTACCAAAGCTTGACATGGGGCATCTAATATTAGACTGCTGATGGGTTGAGGACACCACTATCAAGATGACCGATAATACCTCATTGTTTCTTCTTGCTTCCTGTCTCTCTGTCTGTCTGGTCTTCCTCCCTACACTGAGATCATAAGTGCTCTGGGACAGAAACGGATTTTTTTGATCTGAATTTAAACATTATTTAGCGAAATGGCACTGAGCTCTGCAAGTCGGAGTCCTGGTGCTACAGAAAAATTGAAAGTAAACACAATATCACGAATTACAGTCCATGTTGCTAATAGGTTGAAACCTTCCCAAAGAAGGTTCAATGACGACTTCTTTCTCCCTGGTAGAAACCTTTTGCATAAGGATCATTTTAATGCACAAACATTGCTATTTTATTTTCAGATTAATAATTACCAACCAACAACAAATCACACCAAAAAATAATATATAAGGAAAAGCAAACTAATCTCTGTCTAAACATAACAAATACCTCTCAGTGACAGAATTTTATAAGACTACACACAGAAAAATAATAAATGAAAGGAAGCACAGAGACCAGATCCATTCATCCTAAATCCTCTGCCACCTGAAAACAACCTATTTATTAAGGCTGGCAGAAAATTTTTCATACCAGCTATTTTTCATGGGTAATGCAGGATTAAGCAAAACAACATCTTTCACAGAAAGAATTTTGGATTTTCATCAAAAGTATTGGTTTAGTTTTGGTTTTGTTTGACAGAAAATGGAGGCAGGGGAAGGAGGACAGAAGCAGATTGGGGAACAAATCTAAGCAAACCTTACTAGAATGTCCTTACACTAGTTAATCTAAGTGCAGTCATGGAATAATTCATTATTTCTTCATGGAAAGCTGTTTTGCTCTGTTTCTTGGCCCATTGTCAGAAAGGACAAAACAGACTTAGGGAGCATGTTCCAGAAAATGATGGGACTTGGGGAAACTGCATGTACAGGACAGTGGCACACTCTCTGTGTGTAAACCCGTCAAAAGCAATCTGCCACACTCAGAATATGATGATTCAAAGACAGCAGGGAGAGAAGAAAAAGTGACGCTCAGGCTGTGGCAGTTTACGGAGCAAGACTGTCGCTCAGCCCAAAAAAGAACTCTCTGCTCTCAGGAAACTACTGTGGAGATACCACACTACCACGTGGGGTCAGCTCCCTCTGCCAGCAAATGCAAACCTAAAGCACATGTGTATAGTATGACCCATACAAGCACCACTGTTAATAGATTTGCAACATGGTCACAAACCTTTTCTTTTACTTCAGGGACAGCTTTTTGGAAATGACTGCAACAAAGAACCTGATCCTTTACTACTTTATTTCACTTTGACACTGCTGTACTTCTGCTAGGGTCAATGGTGTATCTAACATCGAAGTAAAATGGTGATTATGCAGTCCCAACATTATGGCTATCATCTTCCTCCTTCTGTGAGGCTGCACTTTAGCTTTCAAATAATACTTCTTCCAAATTCCAGGATGCTACAGTTTGATTTGCAAGGCCTTTTGTAAGCAAGGTGTGAAGCATGCAACGTAAATATATACTCTCTAATTCTCTTCTGAATTAGTCAGTTTAGACTCTTCAGTTGTACCCATATCCATACTGAGCTGCTAATTAACTTTTAAATATGGTGCTGACAGGCAAATCCTCCTAGTCTAACTCACAACAGTTATATGCCTGCACATGACAGCTGAGGAACTCTACAATTTTAAATAAATCATTGTCATCAATTTTACAATGAGAAGTAGAATCTTTGAAATTTCTAGTAGAAATGAAAATATAAAACAGCAATTGTTTGGTGGCAAGTTCATTTTAGAAAGCTGTGAAATGAAATTTAACCTCAAAGTCTAAGCTTTGAAGTACCTGACTTCCTATCCTGCAGCGTCTTGGATACCCTCCTACCTGGCAAACTGACAGCTCTCAGGCTGACACCAAGCCAGCAACATTCAGCGTCTGTGCTGGGGCTCCCAGCCCTATAGCAAAGACCCTGCCTTCCAGGAAGCCAGTCCCAGGGCACTCTGTGCGCAGCTGTCCCCAGGGGTCTCAGGAATCCGGAGTCCTTGGCAAGTGCCAGCCTTCCAGTTCTGGCGAACCAGAGCTTCCAGTAACAGTCATGTTAGAAATTGCCCAGCCCACTCAAACCCGAAGTGAAACAGAGTTTTATCACACTGGGATTGCTGGTAAAACACTAAAGACAAACCAGAAAAAACACTAAGTGACTGAAAATAACATTTGGCTTCCCTGAACCCACTTCCTCCACACGGGTCCATATTTTATAGATTTATATCCTTACAGAAAACACTAAATGAGAGAAAATGCTGAGAAAAGTAACATAGTTTCTAGCATGTTCCTATCAAAACATATGCCAACCGAAATGAACAGAACATATATAAACAAAGCAAACAAAAATTAAAAGCAAAGGTTACCCCATGTGAAGTTTCCCAGCCTGATGGATGAATTACATTGTTAGACTGCAGTTATCAACTTACTATGCCTCGCATCTATTTCTGACATATTAAAATGAAAATTTTGCTACTGAGGTAAACTGGTGGGAAATTTTGATGAAAGTATATGAGCTCTAGGTCGTAATTATAGGATGACCCCTAGAAGAAACCAAAGCGGTGAAAAATTAAAGTCGATTCCAGAAACTGCAGGTTGGACATTTTTTTGCTAATAGAAACGTCATGGGGAAAAAAAAGAATTTTCACTATCTTGATTACATAAATTTACCTAAGTTGGTTTTCTACATTGGAGAAGGATGCATTAAAACATTTTTTAAAACCTCTTAGTTATTTCTCTTATACTCTGATAGCTACAGGATGGTAAGTCTAAGCTGAAAAGAAATATCCTCCTTGATTGGCTGGACTACAAAATTTCAGTTTTACTTGCACAGCTGGAAAGCCTGGAGCCTGTTCTGGTACATGGTGTTGACAGAGAAGCAAGTCATAGGTCTGTTTGGGCACATTGCAAAACTGTTTCCCAAACCCTGTCCACTGGAAACCAATGATTAGAGGAGGAAGAAAGGTTCAGATGAAGCTTGCAGTGTTTTGATAGACCTATGTGTGCCTGTGTATGTGTAGACCCTTTTCTTGGGAAGGGTGAAAACAGATAGGAAAAATGCCCACACAGTTCAACAAGGGAAATTAGTCCCTTGTTTTCATGAACACATCCTCCATTACTCCTCCTTGGAATTTTTTTTTTTATTCAGATATAACCTGTCCCAAGCACAGAAAAGTAAGAATCCTGAGAGGATGGCTTCTATTTTAAATATTTTCCATAGCAGCTTCTTACAACAAAGAACAGGTTCAAGCTTGCTCTTCCTGCCACTAAAGTCAGAGTACGCATCACTACTTTTATAAGATCATGACAGATTTGTACCTTTCTTCTGACCTACCAGGCTAGAGGAAAGGAAGGTAGCCTTATGTGGAGGGAATCCCTGTGCAAACAGGCTTTAAGTCATCCGTGAAAGTAATAGCATTGTTCTTTGGAAAAGAAAAAAAAAGGAACTGCACAATGTAAGAAACTGAGTATCCAAAATCAGCAATCACCTACCAGGCCAGAGGAAAGGAAGGGAGCCTTATGTGGAGGGAATCCCTGTGCAAACAGGCTTTAAGTCATCCGTGAAAGTAATAGCATTGTTCTTTGGAAAAGAAAAAAAAAGGAACTGCACAATGTAAGAAACTGAGTATCCAAAATCAGCAATGAAAATTCTGAAGCCCATCCTATGTTCAGCACTGCTAGATCATGTATTACAATTTCTCTTCTAAACACGAAGATTTTCACCAAATTCATTGTCACTGCTTAGTAGTCAATGAATATGGAAAAGCTACGCACACAGATGCTTACATAAAAGACTACCTTGATTAAAGCAAACTGCTGTCCTCAGCAGCTGCACACATGTACTCCTATGCTTTCCGTTTGTGACAGGGAAAAAGGAAAGGCCATTCAGACAACAAAGCAACAGCAAACTATATAGCCACCTTCTTCATTATAGGCTTCATATAGCCTCAACCATTTTCCATTATAAGTATGCACTTAAACAGCATCGCAAGAGGGTATGATTATGCAGAACAGGCGGAAATAACATGACAGAAGGAAAAAGGAGCAATTCATCATTATTAGCATAGGCTTTGTTCAGGTACATGGCCCAGCCTTGTCCCGACTCTACTGGAAGGAAAGTCAGGAAATATGAGCCAGAAGCAAATTACACTGTGTCCAGCCAAGACACCAGCCTGGACAGCAAGGGGGTCAGGAGCCCAGAATATGCCACAGAAAGCAACTGCTACACAGTTTAAACAGGGCCAGAGATGAGCTGCTCCAGAAACCCTAGCAGAATGGACATTATCTCAGCCTATACTACTGTGGTCCCAGTGCAGGTGCGTTTAGTGAAGCTGGGCCTTGAAATGTATTACCACTGCACAGGTAGGTCTGGCTGTGTTCAAGTCAACTTCAACTTTATTAGAAGTTCACTTGCATTAAGTAACTTACGTTGTTAGGCCTTTGTACACGTGTTCAGGGACCAACTGCCGTAAGGACATGGTCTTCCAGTTCCCTCAATGTTTTATGTGATCTTCTCCCAAAGAAAACAAGTGTTTTAATGATACTCGCAAGGCCTACCTTGCCCAAACCAGGGGTGTCTTTCACTTTGCTGATTGCCCTTAACAAACATGGTGGTGCAGGAGGTGGGGAAGTCTGAAGGATACTGCTGAAGCTGGTAGAGAAGAGAGGAGATTCAGGAACAGGTGATGCAGAAGGCCTGTGCTTCTTCTTTTTGGAAGACAGGTTCAGTTTCTGAGCAGCTCTGTAGGAAAAATGACAAGAGTAAGCTAAAAGAAATCCAAACCCATCAACATAAGCAGTCAAGAATGAATAAAGGTATTTATCAGGTTACTATTTATGTAAGATCTCATTTTTACCTCATTGATCCCAACAGCTTCATAATTCTGGTTCTTCACTCATTATTAGTAGTTTAACGCCACTGACTTCACAAAGTTGCTCCAAATTTACACAGTCTGCATTAAGCAGGGTCACAATCAGGCCTCTGTCACTATCTCATTTGTTGAAACAAATCAGTCTGCAAGAAGGCTCCAAAACCTCCAATTAAATCAATGAGCTATATGGCAATTTCTGTTCTAAAATTAAGTTCAGTTACCAAATAGTTCACACAGAATTGTGTGTCATTCATAAGACTGTAATTAGAAAATGAATACTTGTGTAACATTTGGATGTAAGCAGCCACGGTTAGGTTAATTAGTATTAAATGCTTAGGTGAATTTGCTGAGATGTAAGAAGCCTTGCACTAGCTGTTTTAAATTTTTATCAACTCTTAAAACATAAGCCAGTCTAAAAACTGCACAAATGGTGACCAATGAAAATATTACTGTTTGCAATGAGATGAAGACAATCATACCAACTACAGCTGCACTAACCACTAAGCAGAGAAAAGAATGAAGACTGTCTTTAATACTACAGTATTCTTAGATAAGAATGCTGAAGTTTGTATAGACTCTGATTAAAAAGCTAAGCTTTTCTGGAACAGAAAGATTCAGTACTTTTGTTTTGCAAAATGTTTTCTTTTGAGAGACAATTCAACATTTAGCCTTTGTTTCAACACTTGTGCATTCTGCACTGCTCAGGGATAACGTTAATCTTAATCATGCTGCCCCACGGTTTCCCTTCTGTAAAACAAGCACTTAAAATGGAACGGGTCAGCTGGAGCACCATCTCAAAGGAGACATGGATATAACAATTCATGAGGCTACTTTCATGTTGTTTACTTTGGCAGACAAATTGACTTAAGTGACTTAAGATAGGTATAAAAGTAGTCTGTGCTGACAGTAGCTCCTCTTACCAGTATGTATTCTTTTAGCCTATGGCAAGTGCAAAGCCATTCCAGGTAGATTAGTTTTTAATAAAAGAAATTTAATTAATAAAATATATTTTAATTGACCTGACACAGAATTATGACTCAGAAGTTTCTGTACCATCTCCTTGTCCTTGTTCTTCCCCTTCCCTCTGGCCTACAGACCGCAGTTCACAACCTGGCCCTCTCTTTTAAAAGTCTGCTTTTTTTTTTTTATAGAAAACATAATCAAAATGTGTTGGTCAAAACCAAAGCAAAAAGCACCAAATTTTTCTTTTCCTAGCAACATTTCAATGGTTTGAGAGGATTCAATGATTTCAGCTTCCACACTGTCCATCACTAATGCTTTTATGAAGTTGTCCATGCTGAATCAAGATTTTCTGTATGTCTCAGCTTCACTATAAAATTATTTTAAGCAAAATCTTGCACTATGTGCATCAACTGAAAATACAAATGTTGGCCAAACATACTGAAAAATTTACTCCTGTGGTCAAGCTCAATAGTCCAGTCTTAAATATAGGCAGTGGCTCCACGCACTCTGGTCATTTATCTGGTCTCATTGTCTCACCTCGGGTGAAAATACATTTCCTAAAAAACTTTTTCTAAGTTGACTGACAGAGCCATTATCCCTCTTGCCACTAAATGCTTCTCCAGCATTTAAAGTTCCTTTTACAAAGCTGATAGTGTAATACAAACCACTTTTTGACCCAACCAAGCCCATAGCTGGCATTTTCTTAAAGAAAAAGCATTGTTGGAGGTACTTGGCCTTTTCAAAACCTTGGAACTGTATTCTAGTTGGAAAGTTATAACCTTTGAGATTGCATTGAAATGGAAGAACCTGCATTTTCCTTTACATTTTTGGCCTGCAACTGGCAAAATGTATGAAAAAGCAATGAACTATATCTCACAGCTTCATGGGGTTTTCTTTTTTCCCTCAAGGAGCGAAAATCAATGCATGGAAGGCTAGAAAATCATTTACAAGCCCTATCAGACTTGACTGGATTTTGAAGGGGATCAAAAAGGCAATAAGCCTCAGGTAATTTCCAGAGCACTTAACTGGGAAGAGAAGGGTTTTTTAATGAGATGTAGACTGCAATATAACACAAACATGTACAGTGTGGCTTTCTTGTGAGCACATTTGCGTAAGAAAAATCATTCAGCTTGGGTGGCTAGCATTGCTCTGAAGACAGTTGGTCATGCAAGCTGAAGTTGATTTGGCCCTGTGATCTAGCATAGGAGGTTAGAAATTCTCACATTTTACTTTTCAAGGCAAGTCAGATGCCTGGCTCTCCCATGCAGACTCTCTGGACTGCCAGACTTCTCAAGCAAAGCACCAGGCTAGACCTTGGGGGACCCAATGCTGTTGAGGCTCACAGCCTGCCCAGCCCAGCCAGCAGCTGTTTAGACTCTGCTCTCTTACAGGAGACAGCTAATTTGTTTTCATTTAATATCTAGTATAATAGGATGCTGGTTTCCACTTGAGACTATGCATACTTACTGCAGTAATGGTAATGATGGCAGCATGCCTTTATGTATTGACAACAAGCTGATCATACTCCAAGTTACATTACATCCCACTTGAGCCAAGTGATATCAGCTATGAACTATGCAGGGGTGCGCAGCGGGCTCCAGTGCAATGCAAACCACTTCACCGCTGTGTGCGGTATGGCTGCGGTAGGGATTGTGTCCACATATAAGACATACAAGAAACTCGATCCAAATTAAATTTTTGAAGTGCATAATTTAAACTGCATTAGATCACTGTGTGAATACTCTCAATCACAACAGAAGTGTCTTTAATGTCGTTTTACTGAATTATCTTCCAAAGTAACGCAGATTTAATCCAGTTTAATGAATGTACTTTGGATTCGCACCTTCAGTTAACATGGATTATTTTTCCTGAGAGTTCCGACGTAAACAAGCAGCTGGAGACTTTTTGAAAGCTTACAAGATTTGTGGCAGAGGAAATAATCACAAGATCAAGATCTAAGATTGCAGAAGGGGTGTTAGAAAGCTGATTAAAGTTCAATCCAAATAAAACTGATGGATTGCTGGCAGGAAAGGGGAACTGCTTTGAATGACTTATGAACTGATCCATAGCAATGACTGAGGTAATTTCTTGAAAGGACATTCTCTGCTTTTTGTTTTTTAAAATACAAGTTCAATAAGGTATACTTTTGGGCAGTCAGAATGCTTTTCACCTCCTACTTATGCAGAAATGGTGATTATTTTTTTTTGCCTTAAAACTCCATGGGCAGGCTGGGATTTTCTAACACTCATTGCAGAGCTAACTCCCCTACGCTGGAAGCCATTGCATGACTGATATGAACTTTTGGAAAGTTGAAGATCCTCTGTGGGATTCATTGAAGAAATGGAAGTAAACCAGCTGAGGCACTGGTAATTCTGAGCCATGAGGGGCAAAGTATGCTCTTTGGAAACTCATCTAGAGCAATAAATGAACAGAAATCAATTAAATAATCCTTTTTTAACACAGAACAAAGGCACTGCTAGGGGTGATGCAAAGATCTTTGCTAAGAAAGTTATTCATACTACTTGCAAGCAATACAAGAGTACAGTTGATGAAACTCTTTAGACAAAATAAAAGGCATTATGAAAAGTTCTGTAAATACCTTGCTTAGAGAAGTCACTGGGTAATGGTTACAGTATAACATACATAAGGAAACACTGTGGAAGGAACAGTTTGAAAATTAATGATTTCTAAATTAATTTTCGCTGCTCACAAAAAGCAACTCGAAAAACTGAGGACAAATCCATGTATCCTCTTGTTACTAAGCAATAGTCAGGTGAGAAAAAAGCACAATCACAAAAAAACCCACAAACCAAACCAAAACTGTGTGATACAGCACTTCAAGAAAATAACAATAAATAAAGTCTCCCTAATACATAATGCTCACATACAATACATAATGTTCGCATGCCTCCAGCTCAAATAGAGCAGACTGAGACCTCAATTGTCATAAGTTCATATAAGATCATGAACTCAGTGAGCCTGGCTATGCCAACTCATGGCATAATTGCTTCCTCTCGCTTAAGTAAGAAAACAGACACTGCTAATAAAATTCAAGGGACACCTATTTAGCTTGATAAAAGAAACTATTTTTTCACAAACATATCATCCAAGGAAAAATTAAAACTTTAGGACTCACTGTCAAAGTAGAGGTCAGTAAGGCCAACAGGTTCATTAGATTCAGAAGGGGATTAGACATTTAAGTGAATAATTAAAATATTATTCACACTTATGTCAGCAAAGATCATTGTTGATAAGTAACACTGTCTCCCATGGTTCAGTACCTGACATGCCCCTTCACCATTGACATCTGAAGAAATTTTGTTAGGTGCATATCTCTGTATAATTATTCATTATTGGATTTTCATATTACACTATGATGCATCCAGTACTTATCACCCTTGGAAACAGAATTCCAGATCATAGGGGCCAGTGAGCTGGTATATCAGTTTCTGTGTCAAAATAAAAATTGAAAATATGCTCGCTTTCATATCATATTTTCCCCAGAGAAAATGGCTCTGAAGCTGTGGAGGCTAAACAGTCATGTACTAGCTAAATTTAATGTAAATATTCGCAATTTTCTTTAAAATTAAAAATCTATTTTTCTTCTTTATTTGGAGGCAGAAATTTCATTTTATAAGATAGCTACTCTCTGTTGGGTTCACCGTTCAAGGAGTAAGGTATGAAATTTATCTGTGCAAGGGAAAGCTTACCAGAGGATGCACTGGTTGGACAAGCCCAAAGGAGATTAATGATCTTCCCTAGTAATTAAAACACTATCTTTACGTAACCAAAACTGCTTTTCCTGCTGTACCTTAGTGCTGGGTTGGAAAATAGATGGAAGTTTAGCTTGGAAATCAGTCGCCAGAACAAACTTCCTAAGCATATTTGTGCAGGTACATCACTCATT